TTTTTGATGTGTATAAAATTTTTGGTTTTGAATGAAATGAATAAACAATTTAAATCTAAAATCTAAATTAAAGAAATACTATTGTTAAAAAAACTAATTTTTGATTTTGCATGTGGTTTTTCTGCTTAGCAAAACAAACAATACAATTTTTCACACATTTTACGGCATCATGACACAAAAGTCGCTCTGCCTCGACTTCACAGGCTCTTTTTTTAAATGTCAGTTTCCCCCAAGTTTTAACCAAAAATCGAGTATTTAACACAAATACTTAGATTTAATCCGATTTTTGGGTAAAAAAAAAAAAAAGGAAAGGAAATATTTTTATGGCATTTACATCAATAAAACAAGCAACATTTTTATGAAATAGAAGCTTTTTTGATGCCTTATATGCTAAATTTCTTAAATCTTTATCAGACAAGTCATGCAAACAAAACACCTGAAGCTTTTCTTATTCCTTAGTTTTAAGAAAATGACAAYTGTTTTTATTGTGTCAGTTTTGTCTCAAATTGTCTGCTAAACTCAAATGTTTGATTTTGTTCCTATAACCTAAATAAAGTACTGTAGTTCAGTTTCATTTTAGCAGATTTTCATGTTGGGTTTTGTACTAATATGGCACAGAGAGCTGCTGAAAGAAGTGGGGCGCTGTGGCAGAGCTCAAGCATTTCGACTTTAATGGGCTCCTACCTGAAAACAAACCATCAATCCAAAAGGAGCTCCAACTCAGCCAAAGGCTTGTCATTTACAGCCACATATAGAGGATAAAAACTGGATTGTAATCAGAAGTAGTAGAAAAAAAGCCAATTGRCTTCTTTTTTGTTCCACCTGACAGAAAAGTCCAATGGTTGATGGTAAATGGGAAAATTACAAGAAAAGCTATAAATAAGATGTCAATGCTATTGCTCACTATTACCTGCTCCATCGGGGGAGTGCTTAGATCTCTTGACTGCAGGCGTAACCTTCTTTGTCACGATTCATTACCAGAATAAGAGACCCACTTGGGAATGCTTGGACTCGTGCTGGTGCAACGTAGAGCTATCTTCCTGAATCAGTGACTTCATTTTCCTCTAACGCTGCCKATTTACTGACTCATTCACTCAGAAGGTAAAGTCTGCTCCTCATTGGTGATGCAGTCCCAGGTGCAGCTTTGTAAAAAATTCATGGAGGCCAATATAGGATGGCTTTAGTCCACATTYGTAGGGCCACACCGCCAAATTGGTTTGCCTGGGCGTCATGGCGAAACTCCTGTTGGGCTTAATAAAGTCACAGAGGAGCCATGTCTCATTTTTACGACTCAGCACTGTTACCTGCACAGACAGAAAAAGCCTCTGCCTAGACTTGAGATGTGAAGGCAATATGGCTGCTCTTCTAGGCCAGGTCGTGCTAAATTCAGGAAACCAGATTTGGCACAGAGAAGGAGTAAATATCTAATTTGCRTGCAGATTTTTTGTGTCCTGTGCCAACAAGTTTTGCCACCTTGAATTAGCCACACACAGGCAAATATACCTCCCACGTTTTGAGTTTTTATTGTTTATGATTGTACCTTTTTTAGGAAAAAATTAACTAAAATTAGCTTTAAAGTGATAAAATAAAAAAATACAGTTGTGCCATGGGAAAATATGAACCCATTTGATTTATTAAGACTGAGAAAAAAAGTTCAAATCCAGTGAATTTCTTTAAAAAAGGTTTTAAACAATTAATATCTTACCTGTTATAGATGGCTCTTTTGAACAACTTAAGTTTGGAGAAAATGAGTTTAATTTTGACYAGATTAACAAGCTAACAGCTGGTCTGAGTGGAGCGAAAACGAAAGCAAATCATTGTTGTGGGTCTACATGCTACCTGCTAACATGCTAATTCTTCTAGCTTGTTGCAAACA